AAGCAGAATGTATAAATAGTTCCGTGTTTATGTATTATTCTAAGCATGCACTAGTAGCCTATCTATTTTCTAATCACGAAACGGTAAGGAAAAAAACAGTGTTCAAAACAGCTGGGGAAATAAACAAGTAGCCTATACATATATTTAATATATAACCAATAGCCTATATGCACTTGTTGGTAAAAAAAAATATATATATATATATATCTATTAGTGGTCCACAACAGCAGAATATTATTATTATTATTATTATTATTATTATTTTCCTTAATCATACACTATAAATGAAAACAGTGGGCTATGTGCACAATCTGGAAATGAATCTATGTGTCCTAATTTATGAATTCTATATGTGCAATTTCATGGAAAATAATTTGTTTTAAATTTGTTGTATAAATTATGTGATAACATAAAACAAAAAGATTTATATAGAACAAACAATTGAAATTTCATAAACAATAATATAGTGGAATTTACAGAAATTCATAATAAAATAAAACTAGCAAAAGGAAGTAAACCGAAACTTGCATCAGACAATATCCTTTAAAACAGATTTGTCGCATCACCGGTTGTGTGCTGGAGGTTATTTGACGTTTGTCTCTCAAGATACGACGATTGGACCAGCTACGTAATGCACTGACTGAATAGTTTCGGCAAACAGAATTTTGCAGCACTCTCTCACAGAAAGAATATAATATAAAATTGAAGGAAACTTTTGACAGGAAGAGCAACCAATTTTCTAATGTTGAAGAATGAAGGAGAAGGTTTCCTTTTTAGGGCTGTTCAAAAATCCGTTCAAACCGGTAATCCGGACCAAATCAGACCGAATCGTACGGTTTGGTTCGGTTCTATTAAGAATTGGTTCGGTTTCGGATTAAAAAATATGAGAACCGTAAAAGCAGTTCGGTTAATGGATTTTATGAAAAAATCGCGGTTCGAACCAAACCGAACCGAATTTTAAAAGATATATATATATATATATATATAATATCAAGTTTTATTTTTATTAATTGACTTTTTATAATTTTAATGATATTATGATGGTATAGATATGTAATATTAAGTAATGTCTTAATATTATTAGTTTTTATCATGAGTTAAATGTAATTAGTTTGAGTAATTATTTCGCTAATATTAACAATTTATTCTTATAAATAGAAATTTTTGGAACCGTAAACCAAATCGAAACTGCACCGTTTTTTCGGTTTGGTTCTGGTCCGGTTTTACAAGTGTAACGGTCTGGTCTGGTTCTCAAAATCATAGAACCGTTAGAATCGGTTCGGTTCTTGGATTTTCTCAGAACCGAACCAATCCGGACTGTGTACACCCCCACGCCTTTTATACACATAGAGGGAGAGAGGAAAATGCTCATGCAACAAATGCAAAAGATTTAACCTGTGTTTGGTTGTGTTTCCAAACAATGCAGAAAAATGCTCATGCAACAATGCAAAAGATTCTGAACCCATATTCAAATATGATGTTTGGTTGTAATTCTCAAATCACGTTTTCAAAACTCTGCAGAAAACTCTGTCTCAGGTGCGTTTTTCAAAATTTTTTTTTTTTGCAAATTTGGCCTAACCGGTCGTTCCACCGGACGTCCGGCCGGTTGACTGAAACAATGAATTTTTTCTTTTTTTGCAATTGACATATGTTAATTTTTATATATTCGAAAAAAAATATTTTTCTAATTTTAATTTTTTTTTATGTGCTTTAGTAGAATTTTGAGTTGTATGTTTGGTTATAAGTTGTAAGTTTTTGTATTAAATATCATATGTCACATTAAAAATTCCCCATTCAATTCAAAACTCTTTCACCAAACAAATTTTTCACACTCAAATCATAATTTCAAAACTCATAAACTCAAAATACAACTCATACTTTCAAATCATATTTACAAAACTCTACCAAACGCAACCTTAATTTTGCAAAACTCCCAATTGATGGCAATATTTAATTTTGCAAAACTCCTAATTGATGGCAATTCAATCCATCATCATCGTTATAGAGGAGTTGCATTCATTTTATATGTGTATAATTCTGTAGTCACTTTTTCTATCACCTTTTTCATGAGACCAATTTTATGAGTCAATTTCTCATTCAAATCTTAATGGTTTTTTGTCATTCTTTTTGTGATTTAAAAATTTCATTACAAAGAATCTAAACCCACTTTACTCCACCTTAATTGAGAATTGACACTCACTTTAATATTACATTAAAGTCACCAAAAATCTATTATTTTCCAACAAAATGCAATAATTCAAATTGATCAGTCATGCATGATTATATAGAACAGCCTAAAACATTCAAATATATATAATCTGACCTCATCATCTGAAAATAAAGGTATAATTTTCAACATTTTTTTGTGACATATGGCAAAGATTATATCATGTTTGATTAGGTGCCCTTTGTGGCTGATCCAGCGTCATGAATCACGTGATATGTATTAAATTATAGCTCATGCATGAATGAATTGATATGGTTTGAACTATATTATATAAATTAATGTTTGATGAATCAGTTATCAGGCCTGATAGAGTGAATCATATGATTATATTAATAATAACCTACAAAAGTATATTGCCAGCGGAAGTCTCTTTAATTTTAATCTATATATATATATATTTTCTTTCATATGGTAAAATATCTGCTAGTTGATTTAGATGATTACACTAATTTAACGTCTTCTCTTATGTTTGAGGTTAGGGCGTGACTTATTTGAGATTGTGATATCTTACCTTCTGTTTGTATGGAGGGGTTTGGTGAGGGGGTGAAAAAAAAATAATGAGAATAGAAATTTTTTTACTTGTTTGGAGGGTTAAGTAGATGAAAAATGATGAAAGATCATAAGAAAAAGATTCTCACTAAATTTAAATTTTATTTCTTACCAAAAAAGATGAGATTTGATGAAAAAGGAATTGGGTTTAATGAAACTTTTCTAAAATACTGAAATTATCCTTATGAAAAACAATACTTATTAATATGAAAAAGTTATTTTGGTAAAATGAAATACAATATACTTTCATTAATTTTCTCTTATTTACTCTATCAAAACAAAATATATGAGAAATCACATTCTTTTTTCTTTTATTCATTCATAATAATTTATTTTCTTTTCTCACTTAAGTGAAAAATTACAATAATTTCTTTTCTCACATCAGACCACGTCAAAATCCAAACGGAGTGTTAATAACTCTTTTTGTGATACTAATCAAATCATATGTTAAGGGGTTGTTTGGGATGACTTAAATAAGTGTACTTTTTGTCTTTTTATGAAAAGATGTATAGAAAAGTAAAGAGGTGATGTGATGAAAAAAAGATAAAAAGATAGATTATTTGGGACTTCCCAAACTTGACCTAAATTATGAGTGGTTTTGAGAAGATGTTCAAAAGTGATTTTTTTTTTTTTTTGAAAAAATATGTAAAAAATGTAAGAGATGATGTAACCTAAAATGGGTTAAAAATTGAACAACAGCTTTTAACTATCTTCCCAAATTAACCCAATGTCATGTATTATGTTTCATTTTAGGATTTGTTGACTAATATTAATAAAAAAATTAAAATGATCAAATATCAGTAGTTATATATTTAAATTATATTTATATTATAAAAAATAAATAATTATTCTTAAAATATATTTATCGTCTATTTTTTTAAAACAAGATTTACCTTAAGTTTATTCATCTTTTTTAAAAATTGAGTTTTTTTTTTTACTGAATTTTTTTTAATATTTTAAGTAAAGTTTTTAGTTTTTGATATATCTAATACAAGCACACTTCAAAAGTATAATATTTGTGAATTTTTTTTATTAAATACCAAAAAAAAAAGAGAGTATATTTTCATATTCTTGTGTATTTATTGATTTTTTAAAATATTTTTTTTACAAATATTTTACTTTTTAAGTGTATCTAGAAAGCAAAAAAAATTTACTTGAAATACAAAAAAAATTCACTAAAAACAAAACAAAAAAAAAATCATTCTTAAAAAATCAATCAAATAAGGTGAAGAGTAATGATATATAGTTCTAAATTTTGAACTCTAACAAGGGCTCTCAAGATAATAAAAAAAAAAATCAAATCAAATCAATAGATGGGTCCATCCATTAGAGCTCATTTGGAGCTCTCAAACATTTTTGTAAGGGGAATGTGATTCAAAGAAAAATGCTTTGGAGCTCTAATTTTTGAGCTCTAAAGTCAGCTCTAATGAGTTGGCAGTGTGCCCTACCTACTGTGATGTTTTGGTCTTGGTTTGTTCTTTTTTATATCTTTTTTCTCTTTACTATGTTATTAGTGCTCTATTAAAGTACCAAAATTAGTGCTCTAAATCATTGTTGGTGATTCAAAATTAATGCTCTAAAGCAGTGATTAGTGCCACTAATTTTGGAGCACTAAGAGCTCTAATGAGCTGGAAAATAATTAAAAAAAGAAGAAGAAGATACAAAGCCAAAACATCCCATCATGTGGACTCACACCAATATGAAAGCTATTAGAGCTCTTGGATTAGTGGTCTAGAACATTTTTCTTAAAATATACAAGTACTATATTTGATCATTTAAATTTTGGATAAATTATAAATACATCATCTAAGGTTTGTTTAAAGTATAGATTGTCTCTTATAATTTAGAAAATTACAAATACACCATTGTCAAAATTTTTTATTTAACAGAATTAACTAAAAAAATAAAATTCATAATTGCTCTTCTATATAATAATAAAATTATTTAAATTATTAATTGAACATATTTTTAACATTATTAAAAACTGTTAATTAATTTAATTATTTATTAATTAAATAAACTATTTTTTATAAAATTAAAAATCTTAGAGAATGAAATATAATTTTTAAAATTACATGAAATAATTTATATTTTAATCAAACATTAAGAAATATATTTATAATTTATCTTCAATTTTTTATGAAAATGAGGTGGATTGGTCTTGAGCCTCAGACTAGGCGGTCTTGTTTTTTCTCTTATAATATCAGATCCCTAGGTAGTATTTCAAAAAAACAGAGACTCTCTGTAAAATAGAAACCACTGAAGTTAGTTGCATTTGGCGTCACTCCACCCTACACGTCTCTCTCAAAATCACAGACGAAGAGCCCCTCCTGATCATCTATCAATCTTCTGATCTTTCTTTTCCCTGTATTGACCCTGTAGAGATCATCACATTCCTATGCTCTGCATGAATATCACGAGATTCATCTCATTCTATTATATTTAGCTTTGCTTTCTCTACTCTACTCTGTTTTTTTCTTTCTCAATTCTTCTAAAACCCTTGTCTTTTTGACAAATGGGTACTCGAAATTTGGAAAAAATGGCCTCGATTGATGCCCAGTTGAGGCTTTTGGCTCCTGGGAAGGTATCTGAAGATGACAAATTGGTAGAGTATGATGCTCTGTTGTTGGATCGATTTCTCGATATTCTTCAGGATTTACATGGAGAGGAAATTCGAGAGACGGTAATTAATTTTAATTTCTTGTCCACTTTTTTTAAATATATGTCTTTTGTTTTGCTCTGTGATTTAGTTCATTGTGTAAATTCAATCGAAAATATTGCTAAATCTACTGTGTTCCCCTTTGATTTTCCTTTTCCTTCTTTTTTAATTTTCATGTTTATGTGGGTATTGCTGTTCTCTGAGTTTGATTTGTTCTTTTTTCCCTTTTGGGTTTCAAAGATATTTTCTAATTTATGCTAAAAAATTATCCCCTCTTTTTTCTTTCTTGTCAAAATTTACAGATTTTCATTAATTTTGAGAACCTTTCATGCCCTCTTTGGGTTTTCTTGAGTACATTTGCATTCTTCTGCTAAATTGCTTACTTAATTTCTAATGAGATCCACTTTCTGTTTTCCATAAAGAGGCAGACCCCATTCTGGATTTCTTGTCAGAAACTGTATTCTCTGTCTCTAATTTCAATAAAATGTCTACTTAATTACTTGTTGGCTAGTTTTGAAGTATCACCTTTGCATTTGGCTGCAAATAGGTATATTCATTTTTTAATTTCTTGTCTGAAATTGCATGTTTTAGTTCAATTTGATTATCTATCTCACTGTCTGCTGCTGCTTTGTTAGAAGACTGGTAAAGTATATAATTTAGCCTATTTACTTATTTCATTTTGATATGCTCTATATCAAAGAAAACCTGTTTTGCAGCAACACATTGTTGCATGTGAGTTCAAGTTTCTTTGTAAATAAACAAATGGGCATTAAGGTTCGCGTTTGAAACTTAAGCATAAGAAATGGGACAATTGCTGAGAGAGATTTCTGGTAGTGACAAGAGTAACTCATGATAAATGGTTTTTGTGATATGGATTAGGTTCAAGACTGTTATGAGCTTTCTGCTGAGTATGAAGGGAAGCGTGACCCCCAGAAATTGGAGGAGTTGGGGAATGTGCTGACAAGTATTGATGCTGGGGATTCTATTGTCGTTGGTAAATCTTTCTCTCACATGCTTAACTTGGCCAACTTGGCTGAGGAGGTTCAGATAGCTTACAGACGAAGGATTAAGTTGAAGAAAGGCGATTTTGCTGATGAGGCATCTGCAACAACTGAATCGGACATTGAGGAGACCCTTAAAAAACTTGTGGCGCAATTGAAAAAATCACCTGAAGAAGTTTTTGATGCTTTGAAGAACCAGACTGTGGATCTGGTCTTCACGGCACATCCCACTCAATCTGTCCGTAGATCTTTACTTCAAAAACATGCAAGGTCTGTTCTACAACCCTATGGTTTTGCTATCTGCTTTTGTTTTTCGATCTTTTAGTTTAGTTTTTTGATTTTTTTAGTTAGTTAGCCACTGGTCACTTCACTTGTAATCTTTTTTTCAATCCAATCTATATTGTTATCTGGTCAGTGGTTGTTTTGACTGAAATTGTGTTCTTTTATCCTTTTCAGGATTCGGAATTGTTTAACCCAGTTGTATGCCAAAGACATAACGCCTGACGATAAGCAGGAGCTTGATGAGGCTCTGCAGAGAGAGGTATTTTGCTTCAGATTTGGTTTATTTTCCTGCTATAGGAATGAAAGAATCACAATAAAATTTTATTCTGATTTTCCAATCTAAGGACTAATATACAAATATACCGAACTACTTTGGACAACTCTGCATTGACATCTCTCTCTCTCTCTTTCTCTCTCTCTCTGTGCAGAATTTACTCTTGCTACCTATAGGAACTAGTGTGTACCCCTGGTGCACATACAAATCATGCGTTAATGGTTTATTTGAATTTTTGGAGCTGCTAAACTTCTCTTGGCAGGCATTCTGGGAATGTGTTAATTTTGAATTAGATAGGAATAAAAATAACTGACCTGTCTTCATCAGATGTAATGCTTAAAACTGTATACAGAACCAGGAAAGCTACTCTGTTTTAGGCAATAATGGTAACAAATAATTTGTTTGTAATGCATTGGGGGTTTGTGCTTGGAGGATGAGCTATATAACCTTTTCCATTGCTTCTGGTTCTGAAGAGTGTAATAGGAACCTCTTATTTCAGCAACTTCGGCTGTCTGTGGCAATAACATCAATAGTGAAAGTCATGTTGTTTTGGGCTTATGCCTAGGTCACTGGCACAAAGTTTTTTCATTTGTTATTTTCATAATTTGCTTAATGTCAACCACCAAACTTATCTACTTTAACGTGAATATGGAAACATATGTCACTTTCGAATTTCAATCTTTATAGCGTACACTTATTGGAGTATTATTCTTGTTTCATGCATTGTATGATTATACCTATAAGAAACTTTCATTAATCTCGTTATGGACGAATATAACTGGTTTCACATTTCTTTTTCATATATAATTTCTTATACACTTCACAACATGTTTGTTAGAATCGTACAATTCACGATTTGATTCATACGATTCGATACGAGTCTAAACAAAAATGATTCGAATTGTTCAATTGAATCAAAAATTGAGCGAATCGTACGATTCATTGCGATTCACTACGATTCTGTTCTATTTTTATTTTAGTTTACATAATTATGAAACGACGTCATTTTTGCCTAACTCTGAAGATATATAGAAGAGATTTAGTTATATTGATATACGTGTATTTATTTGTATATACATATATATAATTTAGTTATATTGATAATTTACTTTATTTTAAATATTGTATGTATTTTTATATGTATATAAATATATAAAATTATATATCATACTAAATAAGATGAGTCTTACAATTCACAATTCACTATTTTAGCAAAATGATTCACGATTTGACAACAATGCTTTGTATGTGGAGAGACATGCATTAGATATTTGGATGCAATTTCTTCAGGTTTTTGATTGACCTAGTGCTCATAAATACTTGGCAATAGTTCCTTGTTTACCGTGGTGTCAATTCCCCCCCCCCCCCCCCCCCTCTCTCTCTTCTATCTCCTTTTTTGTTTGTAAAGTCAATTTGTTCCTTTCCCTTTTTCATCTTCTTTTTGCTTTTTAACAAATATCTCTTTCCTACTGTTCAGATACAAGCTGCATTTCGTACTGATGAAATCCGGAGGACACCTCCAACTCCACAAGATGAGATGAGGGCAGGAATGAGCTACTTCCATGAGACAATCTGGAAAGGAGTCCCAAAATTCCTACGCCGTGTTGACACTGCTTTGAAAAACCTAGGGATAAATGAGCGCGTTCCTTACAATGCCCCTTTAATCCAATTCTCTTCTTGGATGGGTGGGGATCGTGATGGTATGATTCTTTTGCCAAGCAGTTTCATGATTAGCATAGTGTTTTGCACACATACTTGATGGTTGAAAAACATCGGACACCAATTAGCACACAACAATATAATTACATGTTTTAGAATTGTGGAAGGAAATGCTGTCGCTGGGATGATCGTGATGTTTCTTTTTGGTTGTATTTTTTACATATTTTTGTTTGTTTGTTTTCCACTTGTAGAATCCATCCAGTTAGTGGAGCTTGCTAATGACAACTGAGTCATTTGTGCTCTGTAAATCTCTTTTTTTTTTTCTTTCTTTTTTCTTTTTTTATAGTAGAATTTCAACTGTTGCATTTATGGTGGGTTTCTAATTCCAAGCAGAGGATCACAACCGAAACGAAAGTTTTGGTTTTAAAGGACCCAAATACAATTTGCTCCTAATCCACCCTCAAGTCCTTGAACCTGACACTGCCTTACATGCCTTGTAATATTAGTTCTTAACTACTTTATTGCATGGGTATTTTAAATGAGTGGATTGTCATATTATACTTTGTCTCATATGACCTAGTTATGGATGAAAATCTGAAAACTTCATTTATCATTCTGTTCTGTCATGTAATTGTTTATTGTTTTGCCCCCTCTCTCTCATGCACACATAGATGCACACCCCCATCCTCCCTAAAACTCCCCAAAACAGTCATGCACACAACAAAATGACACGCAGTCAAAAGCATGCCTTCCAAGATCTTATGTTTTGTTAGCTTAAGATTATTTTGATGTGCACTGCAGGAAACCCAAGGGTAACTCCTGAAGTTACGAGGGATGTATGCTTATTGGCTAGAATGATGGCTGCTAATTTGTACTTCTCCCAAATAGAGGATCTCATGTTTGAGGTAACAAATGACTCTTTCCACTCTCAAAATTGTCCTTTTTGCCGGTTTTAGTTGTTTGATTATATTGTATTGCTTAACAGATTCCTCACGTGCTTTTCCATTGCTTTTCTGTTTCTGTACTCTTCTTGGCAGTTGTCAATGTGGCGTTGCAATGATGAACTTCGTGTTCGTGCAGATGAACTTCATCGGTCCTCAAAGAGAGATGCAAAACATTATATTGGTGTGTAATCATGTTGTTCAGGTTTTAGTTTTAGTTTAAATTCTACCTGTTTCTAAGCTTAAAAAGTGAAACTTTTTTATACCTGGGCATTTCTTTCTAGCTCTAAGATCCTATAATGCCTACTAATATGGCCAGTACACACAATGTAATTGAGTTATTTTTCTCCAATATGTTCTTCAAACAATTTTTTTTTTTGTTTTTTGTTGATATTTTGATCTCATTATTCATGCAGAGTTTTGGAAACAAGTTCCTCCAAATGAGCCCTATCGTGTTATTCTTGGTGATGTAAGGGACAAGCTGTATTATACACGTGAACGTGCTCGCCAGTTATTATCCAATGGGATCTCTGATGTTCCTGAAGAGACATCTTTCACTAATGTTGAACAGGTCTATCAATCTTAGCAACTTCATCAATTCTTATTACCTAGAAAATGTGAATAAATGAATTACCAACTTATTTCTTGTAGTCAGAAAACATTTTTTTTTTCTTTGATGAAACTATTGATATATGCTAAGTATCTCAGCCACTGTGGCGAGATGTATGGTTCTTTTCTCGCAGAAGTAGTTGTATAGTTGTATAGTTGTATTTGTTATTGTTTTTTGCTTATTTGTTTTTGTTTTGTTTTTTGTTTTTTTGTTTTTTTGTTTTTTGTTTTTTGTTTTTTTAAAGGCATGGTGGGAGCTGGGCTGGGTTAAGGTATTTACTGGGAAGAGGTTCTCTTTGGTTTTTGTTGTTTGTTACACAAAATGTTTATAAGTTCTTACACAAAATGTTTATAAGTTCTGTAATAGGGAGGTTCTCTTCATTTCTTGTTGTCTATTACACACAATGTTTAGAAGTTCTATATTAGGGATAAAACCCTGTGTCTGAGAAAATCTAGAGATGTGGTTTACACCACAAATAAATTAATTTCTGACAAAATAGAACAACATAAAATACTAATTAATTGATTACTACCTATGCAATTCCACTCATATTTTACTCTCAAAATCTTTCCACTGCCTAATGGCATGAAGAAATAGAGTGCTACAGGTTTAGGCTTGACCCTGAAATGTTAAACTTATGAAAAACATAGCATTAAGCTTTTCTTATTCTTCACCACCCTTGTGTCTCGTGTCATGTGCTTTTTATCTTGAAAAATAATGACTTTACTTTTTCTTTTCTTTTTTTGCTTGTTTCTTTCTTTCTTTCTTTCTTTCTTTTCATCTTTTTTTTTTTTTTTAGTTCTTGGAGCCTCTTGAACTCTGTTACAGATCACTTTGTGCTTGTGGTGATCGGTCAATTGCTGATGGAAGCCTTCTTGATTTCTTACGGCAAGTTTCCACCTTTGGACTCTCTCTTGTGAGACTTGATATCCGGCAAGAATCAGACAGGCACACTGATGTCATCGATGCAATTACTAGACACCTGGCGATTGGATCCTACAAAGAATGGCCAGAAGAACGCAGACAGGAGTGGCTCTTATCTGAACTTAGTGGCAAGCGCCCTCTATTTGGCCCTGATCTTCCCAAAACCGAAGAAATCACCGAAGTATTGGAAACCTTTCACGTCATTTCCGAACTCCCCTCAGACAGTTTTGGTGCCTACATAATATCAATGGCGACTGCACCATCTGATGTGCTTGCTGTGGAGCTTTTGCAACGTGAATGTCGAGTCAGGCAACCATTAAGGGTTGTCCCGTTGTTTGAAAAACTTGCTGATCTTGAAGCTGCACCGGCTGCTATGGCTCGTCTCTTCTCAATAGATTGGTATCGGAACCGAATCGATGGAAAGCAAGAAGTCATGATTGGATACTCAGATTCGGGTAAGGATGCGGGTCGTCTATCTGCTGCTTGGCAGATGTATAAGGCCCAAGAAGAACTTATAAAGGTGGCGAAGGAATATGGGGTGAAGCTAACTATGTTCCATGGTCGAGGAGGGACCGTTGGAAGAGGAGGTGGTCCGAGCCATCTTGCTATATTGTCTCAACCCCCTGACACTATTCACGGATCGCTTCGTGTGACGGTTCAAGGTGAAGTTATTGAACAATCATTTGGGGAGGAGCATTTGTGTTTTAGAACTCTCCAACGTTTCACAGCAGCTACATTGGAGCATGGTATGCATCCTCCAGTCTCACCAAAGCCAGAATGGCGTGCACTGATGGACGAGATGGCGGTTGTTGCTACAAAAGAATATCGTTCCATAGTTTTCCAAGAACCCCGATTTGTTGAATACTTTCGCCTTGTAAGTGTTTTCTTCGTATTCTTCATCTCTTTTGTTCCCTGACTACATTTAGATTATTCTAGCATAATCCTCCCCATTTGAAAAGGGCATAAAACTATGTTGGTTGATTCATTAGTCGGTCAGATTGTACTTGAATAATTCTTTTACTTGATGTGCATCTCCAATCCTTGCTCTCTCTTATTTCATCAAATTTGAGTGAAATTTTGATTAAAATCTTGTTCTGGTATGGAACACTCCAATCCTCACTCTTTGTTTTCACCAAATCTTTTGAAAAAATTCCAAATTTATCACAATGTTTGATGAAAGAAATTTGTCTCCAAATCTTACTCTTTATAAAATTTAATCAAATTCGAGTAAAAATATGACTTCAAAATTTGGTGAAGATTTGATTCAACCTTGATTTGGTGAAAAATTTACCTCCCCCTTGATTTGATACAAATTTGATGAAATGATTGGAGCTCACTTTTCTTTAATTGGTGAAGGATTGGGGATGCTCTAATGTGCATATTTTATCTTATTGAAGCTTATTTTTTCATTTATTGTTCTGTAATATTCTTGAGGAGCTTGGTGAATTTTATCAGTGCCACTTGGAATAAGCGAGGTTGATTGTAAAATTAACATACTATGAATTTGATATCCTTTTTCTTTGTCCAAATGCTTCAGGCAACACCAGAAACAGAGTATGGCCGCATGAACATTGGAAGTCGTCCATCAAAAAGAAAACCCAGTGGTGGAATTGAATCACTCCGTGCAATCCCATGGATCTTTGCTTGGACCCAGACAAGGCTTCATCTCCCAGTCTGGCTCGGTTTTGGTGCTGCATTCAAGCATGTCATTGACAAGGATATAAAAAATCTTCACATGCTTAGGGAGATGTACAATCAGTGGCCTTTCTTCAGAGTGACAATTGACTTGGTTGAGATGGTGTTTGCCAAGGGAGATCCTGGGATTGCTGCTTTGTATGACAAGCTCCTAGTGTCGGAAGAGAGCTATGGCCATTTGGTGAGCGCTTGAGGGCAGACTATGAAGAAACAAAGAGCCTTCTCCTCCAGGTAATATAAAAGGAAAATTTCTGGTATAATTCATCTATACAGAACTTAAAAGATTAAAATGGAATAGCTCAACAAAGTTTTCCACAAATTTTATCATTTCCCCACTATATCACGTAAATTGTCATCAACAGTTCATATTTGGGTGAGAAAACTTTAGTTCCTGTAAGCCCCAAATACTATTTACACAATTCCAACTTTTCTTTCCGTTGTAAAGCATGGATGAAATCATTAAGGTTGTGTTTGAAACATGAATTTGGGGAGAGATTTGTTGAGGGAAACGGCGAAGTGAATAAAATATAAGCTAATTTATTCACTTTTCCCCATCTTTTTCCTTTTCTTTTGCAAATCTCTCCTCAAATCCATTATCTACTTTTTCAGTATGTATTTATTGTTTTGGTAGTTCATACCATTCATACATAGTGTTTTGATCTAAGTTCAAGTTTGATTTTTGGATAAAGGGTTTGTTGGGATTGAACTGTTTTATCTTGGGATGACTTAGGTAGAGGGTCTCTTTATTGCGCAAATGTGGGATTATTTTGGCCCTGGGAGAAGTGGGGACAATTTTTTGCAGGATAAGATTTACTTTGCAAAATGACTAAACTACCTCTTCGGGATAAGGTATCCTGCCTAATCCTAGCCAGGAATAGAAATTATGGAAATTTATCCTTTCCCTTGTCCTGCTTTTCTGCAGATTGCTGGGCACAAGAATCTACTCGAGGGAGACCCATACTTGAAGCAGAGACTCAGTCTTCGTTATGCATATATCACGACCCTTAATGTGTTTCAAGCCTACACACTGAAGAGAATCCGTGACCCCAGCTACGACGTGAAGTTAAGGCCACATCTGTCCAAGGAAATAATGGAATCTTCTAGCAAGCCACAAACTGCGGAGCTTGTGAAGCTTAACCCTACAAGCGAGTTTGCTCCTGGGCTTGAAGACACGCTTATCTTGACTATGAAGGGCATTGCTGCGGGAATGCAGAACACAGGTTAATTTCTGGTATCGTAGCGTGCTTTACAAATGCGTTGCGTGCTCTTAACCATTATATATGAGTATCGTGCTCAGTGCTTGCCAGAGCTATGCCAGAATTGGCTTGTGATACTATCCAACAAGAATATGCTGTAATGTGAATTTATTTGTGCCTATGTGCAAACTTGGGATTGGGGGAGACATTAAAACTTATCAAACTAGTAAGTTGCTATATATATATAGATATTAAGGTTATAAAGGCGCTCGTGTTTGACTCGTTAAAACAAATTTCTGCTTGTACGAGCAAAGATAGACTTAAATTCATTTTAAGACTTTGTTTTCAAAGTAAACTTGAATCGCTCAGTAGTTCAGAAATTTTTGTTTGTGGTGACATTAAAATTATTTGCATCTCATAAACGAAAACAATGAACACATAGTTTTAATATATTTTTGTTTTTGAGTGAAGAATTTTTGAAAATCTAAAAAATAAGTTTCTGCTTTTATATATGAAAACTGAAAAAGGAAATGATAATGAAATTATTTTAAATTCTAAAAACCTTTCAGAATATCCATCACCTATTTCTACTTTATTTTATTTTTTTAATTTTTTTGAGGACTACCTATTTCCGATTTGATATGAAGATAATTTTTCTTGTAGTTCCTAGATATAAGATAGATCGTTCATGTCAACACAACTTTGCCTTAAAAAATTTGTGATTTTTACATGTTTATTGGTAGGAGATGAATTTGACTTTTTTTTTCTTTTTCTTTTTTTTCTTTTTAGAAATTTGTCGACAATAGTAAAATTAATATAAAATAATACTGAACAAAATATATATATATAATTAATTATATTATTTATTATTATTTGATAGAACGTGTTGTACCCCCTCAGTAGGACTCACTTTGGACACTCCTTTCATGATCTTTTATATTTTATTTTATAAAATCTATCAAAAAGATTATTCATATAAAAAATTAAATTACTCAAACATTAGAACCCAAAAATGATTTGAGAATAAATTGTCAACAAAGATGATCTGATTATATTGAAATCGATATTAAATTAATTTTATTTTTTAAGTAAATAAACTTATAAAATAAACAATTCGGCTCGGCTCTGCTCGATTCCAGTGGATCCAAGGTGAAGCCCCATAAAGAGGATTATCTTAAGCACAACTCTACACAAATCAATCAATCAATCAATCATGAGAGAAAGATAGAGATAGAGAGGGCGAGAGTAACTCAAGCAATGCTGTATAATAAATTATAAAAGAAAATTAAGAATGAAGGATCCCTCCCTGAATTAGTTTGGGTCTGGGCCCAAATAAGACACCAACAATAACAAAGAATATTACAACACTTTTATTGTCCAATGTCCTAGCAAGTTAGCAACTCCTCTTTGTATCCCACAGCACAGCAACATCTGAGATCAACACCAATCAAATTATAGTGCTTTCCTATATTTCTTTCTGCATCATTAACATTGTACCTGTTCCTATCATTTTTTTCCCCCCCGACATTCCCAAGCTATTCCTCCTTTCTAACGATCCAGTCAACTTACGAAACAATAACCTGCATAACAGCAAACAAGGAAAGTACACAAGTTTCTAGTTTTGCAGTCAAAAAAGAAAAAATAACTTGGTAAATTTCTCCAACTAGACTGCCAAATTCAAACTCATACAGGGCATACCACTCAAACAGAGGCATTCAGTTGTCGCTTTATGAAAATTCACCTAAATTTTGTGAATTTCCTGAATACTACTTGTCTTACAATTTATCTGGCTCAGAATATAAACGATTTCTCTTCAGAGAATCAGGCCAAGTCAATAGGTATTTTGACTCTGTTGGATCAGTGAAACTTGATGGTGAAGTTAACAACTAAAACATGTTCCAATTTGGGGAAACGTGAAGTGTTGAAGCAAAAACATTGTGTAAATGTGGTCAAGACAAAGAAACGGATGCATGCCTCTGTCAGTTGCACCAAAAGGACAGATATATGAAGTTGGCCCGCACAGGATGTACGCTATTTTAGACTTGAGTCTTTTTCCCATCAACAGTCAAAGCCTCCTCAATAACTTGGATAAATGTGGCAATCTTGTATGTGAAGAACCCCACTAGCATTGGTATCAATTCTAGATGCATGAATCCATACTCTGGAACAAGTATCCTGCAACCAAACACAGCGTTCTCAGGGAGTTTAAACGTGATTTATTTTTATTTTTTTTGTTGTGGTAAATTGTAATGCATATCTAATTTTTCAGCAAATTGCTAACAAGGTGTTCAGATAACACTATTTATTTATTTTATTTGAAATTGTATAAGATCCACTAGTGTTCAATTCATTGACTAAACATGAGATCCTAGTGATTCAACCTCCTTAGTGAGTACCATATATAGCAAAGTGGGTTGCAAACTATGTACTATCAGAATGCAGAAATTCTTTTTTCTTCTCCTTTCAATTATTCAGATATATGAGAGAAACCATATTAGAAAATTGAAGCTGTGGATATGTAATTAATGCTGAAGAGCTTAAGAGCTATACCAAAGAATGCTGAAGTCACACTCAAAAATGAAAAATGAAGCAATTATAAAAAAAATAATAAAAAGCTTAAGAGCTATACCCATTCCACCGATTATAGATCATGACCAACACAACAGGAACCAGTAGCCTTGGCTGCGCAATTGCTCCCCTGAAAGGGACCAATCTCCAGTGAGCTAAAATATTAGAAACCAGAAAAGGTCATCTTTGCTTACCAAAGCCAAAAAAATATAACAGAACCCCAATTTTATACAATTCAATGGAAGTAGATCAAAACTAGATTATGCATCCTACTGTTAAATTAAATGCCAATTCAATGGTATAAACTTAGTTTTCCATTGAGTACCTAACACAATTATCTATGGATTGATTCTTTCTTTAACCACAAACTTCATTTATTTTTTGAAATCTGCATAAAAATAAAAAAATAAAAAATAAAATTCTCCCTTTAGTGGGGAATAAGTAAATTTATAGTCTTTTACAGTCTATCACTAGTACATGCATATATGGGTATTTCACAAGGCAATTACACAACTTTGTATCCTTGTGCCAAACTTATCAAGAGTTATTCTGTCCTATGGACTCTTTTTTGATCAACAACAAAGCTTTATTGATAAATCAAAAAAGGAAGAGAGGATAAGGCATCCTCTCACAACAGGACAATGAGAATACAAAAAAATTCTGTCCTATGGACTGCGTACACATCACCGGCAGCAACATTCCAAGAATTAGAATGAGGTGAAAATTTGCAATGTTCATGTCCTAATTTTTTCCATTTTGTCGGGTATCTTATGTTACCTATCATAGTCTGAGTTCGAAGTGTAAGAGTTTTATAATCCATTTATGATAAATTTTTTAGAGCAATATTCTTCCTTTGGTAGGTTACCTTCATGGAACACTAAGTTCTACTATGTATATATAAAAATATTTATCATATACAAATATAAGATACTGACATTCCTAGTCATCAGATCAAAAACAATAGTTCTCTACACAATACTACAGGTTGTTATATGTCATTAAAAGCAACTCCAAGTAAATGCAGCACATCAACAAACTACCTAATAGTTTACATCATGGTATTTAGATAAATGACAAATTCATTGCATCACATAATGCCGCCAAAGCAAGTGAACTAAAATTTTAATATTTTTTCCATAAATTTTACGGTGGGCCATAAGATTACATTCCCTGGCAGATGCCAAACTTGGTTATGCACTCGGTAGTTTATGACTATCACATGTCAGCTGCTAAAATCTGGCTGGAAAGAGAGAATGTAATGCTTACTTGACAAGCCCTTTGGCTCCATCTGCCATAGAATCGATACTGGTCCCAAGCATACGCATATAAACCAAAGAACCAAGAAACCCGGCACCATAGCTGCATAGATGAAAGGACATGAAACTCGATTCTTATGAAAGAAAAAAGATCTTCAGGTAACCTATATCAATAAGAAATCATCAACTGTAATAGAACAACCATCAAAATTGTAGGGTTTGTCTACACCACAATAACGACCATTGGAAAAGTAAAAAAAAAACATCTTTTAAAAGAAATAATGATTGAATAGATGATTTTGGACAAGAAAAGGGAAGAAATAGAACAAATGGTTGGTGAAGGCATATGGACCACACTGATATGTAGCACCCTCCCGCTGTGCCACATCACCACATTATGGCTTCCTCAACAAAACTTATGCGCCATGTGTCACTTAAGGCCAATGGACACATGGACCAATCACCAAGTTGGGCACCTCAAATCATGCTCAGCATTGCCTACCCCATGCTTGGGACTGGCTAGCTCAGCCACTTGGCTCACAAGCAACCCCACCGAGCAAGTCAGGCCCTCTTGCGCTAGTGCTTGTCATCAACCTACTTGGTTGTTTGGCTCGTCAACAGCCCCACCGAGCCAACATCTCCATCTTGAGGATCCAGGTTGGAGGCTAGAACTCAAGGTTTGTCCAGGAGCTTGTCGAGCTTTCCCTTGAGAATGAGTAGCACTTGGACCAATCTTAGAGATGGGTTTTGACGACCAAGACCTAACACATCAAAGGTTGTATCATACTACCATTGAGCTGCCCTTACACACCCAAAAAGGGATGTATCATACCTACCCTCTAACCACATATGATACACCCCTCGAGGCTGGCAGCAAAGGTTGCAGAGTTTGACTCTATTTGCCTCCATTTTACCAAACAACAGGGATCATGGCATGTGTGCTCGGCTAAGCTGCCTTGCCACCTTATATAAAATCATTACCATTGCCTACTTTTCTCTCTGGCTCTCTGGCATTCCATTGCCACCAGTTCTCTATCTGCTAGGGTTCTCCTTGGTTTTCTCCTCTTCCACCTCTGGTGGTCTCCAACCACACCAGTATCTACCATCTTCTCAGAGGGCACTTGCCAGGCAGCTCATCCCACATTCTAAAAACATTATTGGTTGGTTTTAAACTAGTTGTGCCACCTCTATTAACCCAAGAGCAATGAATGGTGACCTTAAGAAATCACATACTTGAATACCATTTGATTGCAAAAGGGAATGACTAACAGTACTTGTACCATATAATGAAAAGAATCAGAACGTAAAATTGGAGATTAGACCATTTCTAATAATCTATTTACCTCGCTGCAATTTCAGGAGAATAAGAAACATAAGTTGAGAGTAAACCAATACTGCCTATTCCTAAAGTGAGGATCTGCATCTTCTTCTTTAACTGCAAAGCAGTTTGCAAGGAAGGAAAAAAATCATAATTCTGATTTGCAGTACACCAAAGGTCACTGACATTTATTGACCCAAAAGAACTATTATAAAATACCTTAAAATACTCCTCCCTTGACTGAGCCGCCAATACTTTTGGGTCTTCCCGAGGTCGCCTTATTTCCTGAAACATCACATCCTACAGGAGAGAGATCAATGAAGACACCAAACTCAGACAAATCTTTTCCATAGTCTATAATAGAATGGCAAAGATGATCGGAGGTTTCAGCACCTAATTTAGCCCAATACCAGTCGAGGGGACTTTTAGCCAGGATGATTACATGAAATTTTGTAAAGCTGATTGTCAAATGATGCAAAAAACTTACACTTCCTCCAGTTGCAGCCTTAGTGGCTCTATCCCATTTCTCTTGCTCGCGCCGTGTTGGAGCTGGTCTCCATCTTCGTGGCATGCTGCCATTAGCCTGAAAAGTGAAAATCATAAAATTCTATACTAAGCACAGATACAGATACGAATATAGATACTGGACATGGATACGACATGATATACACACACTAACACAGAATTTTTCAAAGCATATTAGAACACTCATCAGGGAGTGTTCAACAAGTTTCAGTTTCTAGCACGCATTCGACACAGACACGGCACGTTCTTAGAAGTGTCTATGCTTCTTAGATTCAGCATTGATATAAAAGAAAAAAGGGAAGCGCACAATAAAAAATTAGAGTAATAAAGTAACAGATTAACAATTTATCATACCTGAGCTGCTTCAACTGGCTGTTCTACAACAGGTTTGGAAGGCAATGTCAGCTCTTTGCTCAAATCAACTTCCAAACTGCATGCCCATAGTACATGTAGGTATTAGGGGTAGAAGAAAAGGAAAAACAAACAAAATAATTAAAACTAACGAGAGAAATGAAAACAAACCTATCAAGGCTCATAACTCTGTTGAAACTAAGAAAACCAGACGGCTCTTCCTGTTCACATCATCAAACCCATTTGAATTCGTAATTGAAAACAAAACAATATCAAAACTACACAACCAAACCACAACAAATTAATGAACAGAAAGCTAATGCATCTTAATGCCTCCAAACATGTCCATCCAATAAGTACAATTACTGATTAGTAACCAATAAATTGGTAAAATCAAAACAAAAAAAATAAATTCGTAACTACACTAACCCGCCAAAGTAATTCAACAACAAACAGAAAACTGTTTGATTAGGATTCTTTCCTTATTGGGCACTCCTCCCCCAGCCTGCCCAATTTGATTTCAATAAACCCAATAGTATAAATTTTGGAACAAGAAAATAATTCACTCCATAAAATCACATACTTTTTCAATATACCTTCTTTAATTTACTTGGGATTCTGAACCCATTTGGTATCATTTGCCATGTTTACTAATTAATTGTGGGAAAAAAAGAAAAAAGAAAAAAAAAAGAGCAAAGCCCATTTGATTTCTAAATCAACTCATGACCATTCACACGACGGAAATCAAATCAGCCGAGAAATAACAAACATTGAATGGGAATAATTCACTAAACCTAAGAGTATGAAATTTGGAACAACAAAATAATTCACTCCACAATCAAATTTTTTTCAACATTCCTTATTTAATTTACTTGATGAACCCATTTTGTATCATTTGCTATGTCTACTACTTAATTGTGAAAAGTGGGGAAAAATGAGCAAAACCCATTTGATTTCCATAACCATTCACATCACAGAAACAAAATCAGCTGAGAAAAATAACAAACATTCAATGGGTGAAAAAACCTTAACAGCAGGGGATTGAAGATGAGCGTCAGAGGGTTCCTGAATCAAACGTTTCATGCGAGGCATGAAGTCTTTGTTCCAGATGAAGTCGTCAGAGGTGAGAGGGTCCTCACCCTCGCCGCCCCAGTACTTGCGGAGCTTGGTGGTGGTGGGAGGGCCGCCGTAGTCTCCCGGAGCCACCCCTGTGGACCATTTCATGGGCTTCTTCTTGGGAAGTATGATTTTGGTTGGTGGAGGAGGAGGGGGGTCCTGAGGGATGGAGGGTGTGTTTGAAGTGGTGGTGGATGTGGCTGAAATGTAGCAGTAGTTCACAATTGTTGTTGCCATTGTTGTTGTTGTTGTTTGTTGGTTGATGAGAGAATATGGAAGAACTGCTGAAGGAAGGTTTTATTAGATCAATAATAAAATTTCAAAATATTTGGGTGGTGTTGGTGATAACGGTGAATCGGTGATGATGACAAAGTGTTCATCGACCTTCAACCACACATGCTTTCTCAAAGAAGGCCAGATTTCATTTTTTCACCCTTCCACTTAATTTCATTTTGCCTCCAAACAAAATACTAGTAAAAAAATTACCAAGTAAAAAAATTACAAATAATAGATAAATAAGAAAATCTTATGATGTGTACCTTATCATAAAAATATATAATTTTATCATAAAATTTTATAATATTAATTATAAAATATTTAACTTTGTCATAAATTAGTATAATAAAAATGTCTAAAATTTTCTTGTTATTGTAAAAATCTATGACGATATTTTTTGTAAAATGTCCAAAATTTTCTTGTAGTTATTGTAAAAATCTATGACGATATGTTTTGTTAGGTTAATTTATAAGAAAATTACATACTTTCTAATTGATATTATAAAATTTTGGAATAAAAAATAAGACATACACCGTAACATTTTCCAAATAAATAATAATAAAAACATTTGAGCTGAGCCCAAAGTGTCAATTTTATTTAATTCTTAATCATATACCCACACAAATATACATATATAGTGTTTTTTCCTTTTTCATATGACAAATTTTAAAGATTTATTTTTATTTTTTTTTAAAAAAGGCACATCAATATCATTTTCTATTTAAATATAAAGTTTTATACAAATTTAATTTTAATTATACTAATTCATTTTATAGGGATTTGGGGTGGCTGCTTGCTAGAGGGCACAACATTCACTGTTGTGCAACCAAATGACTCCATTTTGAAGATTCAAACCATTCACATTTTAGAATATATTGAGTAGAACATATCTGTAAAAATTAAGTTAATCAGATATCATTAACTCTTTCATTCACTCATATTTGTATTCATTTTAATACTTTAAGTCACAATTGTCATTTATTTTTGTAGATACAAATGTGAGTGGATGAAAGTATTAACGATATCTAATTAATTTAATTTTTTGCAAGTATATTTTACTCGATATATTCTAAAATGTGAACGATTCGAATCATCAAAATAGGTCCGGAAATAAGCCTATTTGGTTGCACAACAATCACCCCTAAATCCATTTTATATGGATTCTATTTGGAAAATAATTATTTTCCATCTATTTTCCATCCAGTATTTCGTTTTGTCATCAGATTTATTTTATATAATTGATATTTTAATTTAATTATTATGATATTTGAAAAAGAATTATCTCGATATACAAATAAATAAATAAATAAAACAGAATGTACTTGATTATGTGCATTTTATATTTTTTATCTATGTTATTGATGCCTTAATATTAATTTATATTTATTTTTTATTTAACATGAAATTATTTATTACAAAATATTTACATTTAATTGAAATTTTACATATTTATATACAATATGTATAAATAATTAAAAAGAATATTAAAGAGAAAAAAAATTAATAATCTACATAATTAATTTATGTATTTTCTTCTTAATCCAATCACATCATATTTATATTTAATATTATAAATAAATTTTGTGTAGTTCCATTTCTACATACTTTTAATTTCTAAACAAGTATAAAAATAAAATTAAATAATTAGAATCACTTTTAATTTTATATTACTAATTCGTTTTTTAATTTAACTATTATTTTTAATATATCAAGATTAGCATTTATTTATTTATCTTATAATTAAATATATATCATATAAAATGCATTATATGATAATTCCAACTACACCATATTTTTTATAGTTAATTTTTTATTAAATTTTATATGATTTCTATTTCTACATATTCTTATTTTCCACAATAAAACTATAAAGAAAATTAAATAATTAGAATTACCTTTAACTTTCTATATTATATTAACTTCTCCTTTCAATTTAACTAGTTATTTTTAATATAGATAATTAAAACTTTATAGGACAATAGAACAAAATTATAAAAATAAATAAATAATTTATCTAATATGTTATTAATAGTATCAGGTTATTTAATAACACATTTATAAACGATATTGTTAATAAAGTTATTTCAAATAAATAATTGTAAATTTTAATTTTGTTTTTTTTAAAAATAAAAATTGATATTATTCTTTTTATCACACATATGGTAATATAAAATATCACATTTACGGGTTCAAACTGTTAATCTATCTATCTTCTATATATTAATATATATTAAGGAAAGAGTTTCATCGGATGTAATAACCCTTTAACATGAATAACACAGTTTCAAACCCTTTCCCTCCACATCTCCTTACTTTGACCCTCTTTCCCTTCTAGACCATTAGATTAGACCGCCGTGGATATTTTTTATTGATGAATAGTCACTACTTATGTAAATAGTTTTAGGTGAAAATCCTTTTATTTGTTTGTAGAACATTTTGTTTTTTTAATCAATTTTAACCGCTTAATTTATCTGTGACTTTTTTTGACTAATCTGTTAAAATTTTATATATTATCTATGGAAGATCTTTATATTGTTTATCCTGTTTAAAATTATTTTTATATATTGTTCTAAATTTATCTGTATCCTTATCTGTTTCAAATTTTTTGACTATCCTGTTTAATTTCTTTTATCCTTACTGATTTATTCTGTTCAAATTTATCCTATAGAAATTTTATATCTGTCCAATTCTTTTTATCTATTTGTCCACAATTCTTATCTGTTATTTTTTTTATCTGCTCACGAATATTCTTATCCAATATTATTAACCCTACTTGTTCAAAAAAAAAATTTTATCTTGTACAAGATTTTCTGTTCCAATTTTTTTATTTGTTTAAATTTTTTTAAAATATCTTTCAATTTTTTGAACTCCACTATCTGTCTGTATGTCTTTCCTCCTCTCTCTCGTTTACTGTTCTAATTCTAGTTTAGAACCATATAATACACACACAACACTTGGCGAGTCCATTACCAGATCTAAAAATGATTCATACACATACACAACATTGATATTTTATAATAATATATAAAATCTAATGAAGATTTCTGATTAAACCACCGCCACAATCCTTATTCTCTCTCTCTCTCTCTTCTCTATATATATAGTATATATACTATAAGTGAAAGTTACTGGCCTCAACATGATAATACATATATATATACATTCATGCTAGACTTTTAAGAATGGTTGGATGGCAAATAAGATATGATTTCTTAAGCCACTGATTTCAATAGTTTTACACATTGTTTGTTCACAACATCTGTGCTTCTTCGATTGTTTAACATAATGTAGAGAGAGAGAGAGACAGAGAATAGTGAAAGATACAGGGAGAGGAATTGAGAGGGATCGGACCACCCAAACCCTTCATCCGACTCATTACTTTCTCGTCTTAATCGCCGAAATCAGATCTGTACACCCTAACTCCTGCACGGAAATGCATCGGAATGACGGCAGACGATAGAAGAGAGAAATGGTTGTAGGGACACTAGGATTCCCATTGATGTCCCAATAAAAGGATACCAGATTTGAATAGGTAAAGTAGAATAAAACGGGCAGAGAGAATGCGTTGGTTTGAGAGCATTTTGATTGGATGTTGATCTTGGAAACTATATATAATAGTATATGTATAAGTAGTTTGGTCATTGCGAAAACATGTTATATTGTAAAAAAATCAGTGTTTGAACCTTTTGACAAAATAAAGATTCATTTGGCATCTTTTGGCCAAGCACCTTACAGGAAATGAGATTTCTAATGAAGAGGTGTCCTGTTAAATTCAAAACCTCGTACTGTTTTATTTAGATTTTTATTTTTTAAATAATTAAAAAATCCTGTTGATTAGCTTTTATTGGAGGGCGTTTGTCTCGAGCAACCCAATTTTTAATTTCTTGGTTCTAAAGTCATGCGTTAAAGTGTACGTCATAGGATGTTCTTGTGTAGAAAAACAAAACTACCCTGTCATAATACTATATCGTGTGGATCCACGCGTCCTAACCCTATCTGGTGCAAATTGAGCTGATGGTAATTCAAAAATTCTCCTCTCTGTATCTTTTCCTCTCTTTCTTCTCTCTCCAAAACCCATAGCCGCGCATGGATTCGGTGTAATGTGGTGGTCGAAGTCGTCCTAGGCCAAGATCTTTCATCTTCTTGTCATCTCCGACAATACCACCACCGCCTCCTATCCATCGCCATCGCCATTGCCGAAGCGGAGAGACCAGATCTGGGCGATGGTAGATCCACTACCGCCTTTAACCTTCTCTCTCTCTCTCTCTCTCTCTCACAGTTCTGAAAACGCTAGGCAGCGGAGGAAGAAGTGAACAGAGGTTGTGGTGGTGGATTCGCCGCCGTTGATCGACGCTGTCGTTCTGGCTCCCACAGACACCGCTATTGTTGCATGACCTTTTCATTCCTGCTCTTTATATATATATATATAGAAAAATGTTTGAGGGCCACAATTTTTATGGCTCAAATGGCTCAAAATTGCCAAAACGACGTCGTTTTGACAATTTTGAAGTTGTTTTTGTACTCAAAACACGTCGTTTAGTAATTTCGAGCCATTTGAGCCACAAAAATTGTGGCCCTCAATCATTACTGATATATATATATATCTATATGGTTAGAGGTGACATCTTTAGATTTTAGCTATATAGTGTCTGTTGGGTGATCTTATGCCTGCTTCAGTCCAAAATTTTTATGAGAGTTGGATATGTATATATAATGTTTGAAAAATCTGTTTATTTTAAGTAATTTTGATTAGATTTATGTACTTCATTGCTACAATTTGATGTTCAATGCTCATGTTCTCATTTACTGAGTTGATGGTCTGGAATTCTGAGATTTTTGTTTTTGGTTTCTATTCGAATGTGTTGGTGATAGCTCTTCATCGATAGCTTTAGAGATCTATCTAGATTCAGATTGAAGTCAGATCTTGATTAGTGCTTTGGATTGAAGTCAGATCTTGGTTACGGTTTCGGATTGAAGTCAATATAGGTAGAACGATTTGGATGGAAGTCAAACCAGAATTGCGAAGAAGAATCGTGAACAAATTGAAATTTGTCAGCGCTGTTCGATGATCCAAAGAAATGGAACTCAAAATTTTCCAACGGCACTTTGATTTTTCACTTTTAATTAGAGCTC